AAGCTCAAAAGAGTATTTAAAATTATGTTTAATATTAACAATTTAATTGACAGATCTTAGCAAGTACTAGCCCCTCCCACCCGCCCTCTATTCTCTTGGAGTTTCTCATTTATCAAAATAAAAGATAATAAAAATCCAAAAAACACTTTGGAACTTACATTTGAACTGCTAGTGCTTACTGAGATAAGGCTGATATTGCCAAATAACATACCCTCTAAGAAAAAAAAGGGCGGGCGGGTGGAGATAGTACTTGGCAAAATAAGACTGATTTTGGAAAATACCTACCCTCTAAGAAAATAAAGGGCGGGTGGGCGGCGGCTTGCTAAGATAAAACTGATATTGCCAAATGGCATACCCTTGAAGGAAATAAAGGGTGGGTGGGCGGGGCTAATACTTGCCAAGATAAGACTGATTTTGCCAAATGATATACCCTCTACCATTCAATTTTTTAGAGAGGTCATTTGCCAATATCAGTCTTAACTTAGCAGGTACTAGCTCCACCCACCCACCCTCTCTTTTCTTAGAGGGTTTGTCATTTGCCAAAATGGATCTCATTTTACAAGGTACTGAGCCCACCCACCCGCCCTCTATTTTTTTAGAGGGATCTCATTAGCCAAAATCAGTCTTTCTTAGCAGGTACTACCTCCACTTTCTATTTTTTTAGAAGGCATGTCATTCGTCGTCAGATAAAACTAATTTTGGCAAATCACATACAATCTAAAAAAAGAGAGGGTGGGTGGGCGGGGTACCTGCTCAGATAAGACTGATTTTGGCAAATAACATACCTTCTAAGAAAAAAGAGGGTGGGTGGGCGGGACTAGTATCTGCTAAAATATGACTGATTTTGGCAAATGAGATACCCTCTAAGAAAAGAGAGGGCGGGGCCAATACTTGCCAAGATAAGACTAATTTTGCCAAATGATACCCTCTACCCTTCAATTTTTAGAGAGTAGGTCATTTGCCAATATTAGTCTTATCTTAGCAGGTACTAGCCCCAATGACCCACCCACCCTCTATTTTTTTAGAGGGATCTAATTAGCCAAAATCAGTCTTTCTTATCAGGTACTACCTCCACTTTCTATTTTCTTAGAAGGCATGTCATTCGTCGTCAGATAAAACTAATTTTGGCAAATCACATACAATCTAAAAAAAGAGGGGGTGGGTGGGCGGGGCTAGTACCTGCTCAGATAAGACTGATTTTGGCAAATAAGATACCCTCTAAGAAAAAAGAGGGCGGGGCCAATACTTGCCAAGATAAGACTGATTTTGCCAAATGATACCCTCAACCCTTCAATTTTTAGAGAGTAGGTCATTTGCCAATATTAGTCTTATCTTAGCAGGTACTAGCCCCAACCACCCACCCACCCTCTTTTCTTAGAGGATTTGTCATTTGCCAAAATTGGTCTTAATTTAGTAAGTACTACGCCACCCACCAGCCCTCTATTTTCTAGCGGATATGTCATTTGCCAAAATCGATCTTATTTTACTAGGTACTGACCCCACCCAACCCTGCTCTATTTTCTTAGAGGGATCTCATTAGCAAAAATCAGTCTTTCTTAGCAGGTACCAGCTCCGTCCAGCCACTTTCTATTTTCTTAGAAGGCATGTCGTTCCCCGTCAGATAAAACTGATTTTAGCAAATCAGATACCCTCTAAAAAAGAGAGGGTGGGTGGGCGGGGCTAGTACCTGCTCAGATAAGACTGATTTTGGCCAATGGCATACCTTCTAAGAAAAGAGAGGGTGGGTGGGCGGGGCTAGTATCTGCTGAGATAAGACTGATTTTGGCAAATGAGATACCCTCTGAGAAAAGTGAGGGCGGGGCCAATACTTGTCAAGATAAGACTGATTTTGCCAAATGATACCCTGTACCCTTCAATTTTTAGAGAGTAGGTCATTTGCCAATATTAGTCTTATCTTAGGGTACTAGCCCCGCCCACCCACCTACCCTCTCTTTTCTTAGAGGGTTTGTCATTTGCCAAAATTGGTCTTATTTTAGTAAGTACTACGCCACCCACCAGCCCTCTATTTTCTTAGAGGGATCTCATTAGCCAAAATCAGTGTTTCTTAGCAGGTACTAGCCCCGCCCACCCACCCTCTCTTTTCTTAGAAGATATGTCATTTGCCAAAATCAGTTTTATCTTATCAAGTACTGATGACTGACTTGCACAAGGCAAGAATTTTGAACATCTTCTCTAATGTTTAATTGGTTATGATTTAATGGATTTTTCTTTTGTTGATTTTGTTTTTGACTGAAAATTTAAAATTTGAGAATATGTTCTTTCTATAATTTGATTATAAATTCTGTTAGAGCAGCAAATTCTGTGTTTACAAATTTCAAAATTCTTTTTGCAAGAATAGAAGTTCCTAAAGTCTTAATTTATTTATTCTGAATTAATCACGTATTTAATGTAAACAAGACCATAAACTAAGGAAATTTAGTACTCTTAATAAATTTTAGACCGAAAACAACATATTTCTTTTCTTTTAAAGTTTAAACAAAATTTTCTGCGATTTTATAGATCCATGAACTGTTTTTATAACCTTGATAATAGATACGTCCCCACCAAAAAATATGACGTCGTCCAAACATTGTTTAGCAAATCTCAATTTAAAAGGTTGCCAATCCATTTCTATTAAATTTATGTATAGAAGTTTTTCTAAAAAACGAAAAATAATAAAATTCCAAAAAATTTTCGAACTCACATTGAACTCTGTTCAAATTTTTTTTGTTTTCACTGTAGGATTTAAATGTGAACTTTACAACAAAGTGCTAGAGAATACATAAAAGTTCTGAACTGGCAACCACAACCCAATTTCATTCTAACAACTGTTTTTATAACATTTAATATCGATAATAGACTAAGTTGAAAACGGAAGTGTGCAATTAAAACATTATAGTTCACAAAAAAATATGTATAGCCACAATTAAGCACAGAAAATAAACTAGAGCACAAGGTGTGGAAATAACAATTACCAATAATTTTAGACGACAACTTTTTTTTATTATTTGCAAAATTTAACAACAAATGAGGTTAAAAACTAATTTAGAATAATAGAAGTAATAAAATTATTGTTTCTACAAAATCTGTCCATATACTACCACTCCCAAACACCGTCCGCGGTAACAAAAGCACCAAAGCAGCAACACACACGTCAATGAATTAATAATTCACGCATCGTATTCCTTATTTCCTTACATACGATGAGAAAGCCGATCGTAAACAGTAATTTACGTAATGCGACAAAAATAAAAAGTAACAAATGATTTTTATATTGTACATGAAAGGTACGTATTACCGATTATCATAGATAACCGAGTATGAGCTTAACTACCAGTTAAGCTATTGAATTTTATTTGAAAACCTCCGAAGCACGTCGCTTACACTATAATTATCCGCCATCTTGAATTTTATAATAAAAATGAGCATTTCAAACACGCCGTATTAACCACACGTAAAAACATCATTAAGAAATCAGCCAATGGGAACGGTTCACGTAATAGGATATTTTTTTTATTCCCCCCAGATTACATCTGACAAGTAATAGAACAACCGCCATAACAATGCGGTCTGTTTGTCCATCGACAACGCAAGGAAAAACATTGTTGTTATTTTAATTAAATATAATTTCATTGTTGCTTTGTAACGTGTCATTGTATTTAATTTCGAGCGAAACCTTTCGCACACCTCCACATCAATCAACGTTTTTTACTTCGTGACATTTTATGTAATTTTACAATACGAGAGTTATTATTTTTAATAGGGATTTATATGTTGCATGCCATGTACAATTAAATGTTAAATTCGATTTGTATTGAATTTTAATGCGACTGACCTGCCGTCACACGATCATGTTAATATATTAACGATTTACATGACGTTTCTACTAATAATTAACTGTAATTTATTGTAATTGCACGATCGAACACTTTTATCAGTGTCGCTATTAACGCCAGATGTTAAATATGTACACAAGTCATTACGTTTTGCATTATTCAATTCTCGTAATAGCTCTATTCATCTTTAATTTTACATGGATGGAGTCAAGCAATTAAAAGAATCAGAAAATGATAAAGTAATGGACATTTCTATTGGATACTTTACGAATAGTAGGTACTCGATAATTATCCACTCACTACGAGACTTAAATTGACACTAAATGTCAAAGTTTGTAACGCGCATAAAACAAATAAACTTGTTTGCTTTAAGCTATCTATTTCCATAAACTGGCATTTGCAATTTTTGAAAGCAAAGTCAAAATGTTTACACTTCGCTATAGCTACACATTTCCACTTTCCATCCATTTTCGATATTGTTTGCTTTCTTTTCCGGAAAATCTCCGGAATCTTAACGTTACCAACAGTTTCGATAAGCGTAATTCCAGTTTGAACTTTTTAATATCTTAGTCGTGCTCGGCAAAGTAGATTCTAAATTAATTAACCGAATGGAATGAAATGATGAAATCTTTAGCGCTCTTCTACCACGAACTCGAATTTTACCGTAAGAAATTACCTGCCTGTTATGGGACATAAAAGAACTTAATTACTTTTCTCGTTAAGAAATCGCTTAATTGACTGTAATTCCCAGAAAATTGCAAAATCGTCTGACAAATCCCATTATTGCCGTCTCTTTATCCCCAAAATTCAGGGGAGAATCAGATAAAGCGGCTTTGTTCAAGCGCGTTTTTAATTGGCTTGCGAAAAGTGCACTTCTTAAATTACTTTGGAAGTAAATTAGCCACCAGCAATTGAGTTTAATTTTTATACGCTATAGACCTCTCTTTTCAATCGACAAAGAAAGACAAAACACTATATATAGCCACAATTTTTTTCCTATAAATCTAAATTCTCGAAGTTTACTTAACCATGGAAAAATAAATTATGATGTGGTTAGAAACAAGCACGCTATTTTTGTATATATTATTAGAGTGGATGAGTACGGCTCTGTTCACAGTTTGACAACCACCAACTAGGAGCTATAGGGGTTTGTTCTCTTTTCAGCTACTTTTCCCATGACGAGGCGGATCGGCCACCCTTACCAGAACCGGACTCCGCCCAAACGGAAGAAGCCCCGAACGTCTTTCACGCGTCTCCAGATCGCCGAACTCGAGAAGAGGTTTCACAAACAGAAATACCTAGCTTCAGCCGAGAGAGCCGCGTTAGCGAAAACTTTAAAAATGACCGACGCTCAAGTGAAAACGTGGTTTCAGAACCGGAGGACGAAGTGGCGGTAAGGACATTCAGCGTTTTATTGTAGTGGTGAATGAGATACTCGCATGTAGTCGCATATCTAAGGCAATTAAATTTTTTAACATTGTCGTAAATGTTGTAGATGATATGCGAAAGTATTCACAGTGCTTGTAGTAATTTAAAGTGAGGAGATTAAAATCTGTGTTTGCTGTAAAGGTGTAGGATCGTAAATTGTGGAGGTTTTTGATTTGGGTTTGGGTTTTATTGACATTGTGGGGTGTTTTTTGTGTCGGAAATGATGCTAAAATTGGCGCATAACCTTGCGAAAGTTTTTGCTTTGAGGTGAAGTTTTATTGGGGAAAAAATGTTTAACATTCTCATTTTCGGTAGCAGGCGGCGAAAAAATGGTTTTATTACGACAAGTTATAAAACTATAAAAATAGCTTTTATTGCGTTTTTTATCACTTTCTAGTTCCACACGGAATCGAAATAAAGTTATTATTTGGCTATAACCCTATTTAGATACAACGTTTTTTGCACAATATAACGGGATAATTATGACTCTGATCTAAGTCTGCCCGAATTTCTAATTTATAGCGCTATAATTTAACTTTCGACATTTAACACTAGATTAGGAGAACGAGAGAGCTCCAAGATTTCGCTGGACAATAAACAAAGTCATACTTTTCGCAATAAATTTCAGTTTAGAAACCCAAACTAAAATATGTTTGTAGATTAAGTAGAATAAAATATGAAATATATTTAAATCAGATAACTAACGAAAAAATGTACACAATTTCAATTTTTCTGTACATGCTTAACTTCGACCGAATTCGACTACCAACACAAACATCAGCGATTAAAAGAAAATAAAATTTGATTTATTTTGTGTCCTCAATGTAGAGGAAAGGATTGATTGATTAATTCATACTCAGTTTTTTTCCCAAAAACACTCATATATTTGAAAAAATTTGGCGAAAATGTAAGATGCGGATAAATTTTGACTAACAATTGACCCTGTTACAAATAATCTTAAAATATTTACACGATTTCACAGCATTCGAGTTCTGTAATTGCAAAGTGACATTGTAAAATATTCTTATACAATGTTGATTTTTTTTCAAAAATCTGAACACCAAGGGTAAAAACTCAACACGGATTCATAAATCAGACATACAGGAATATGTTATTTCATAAAATTTAAAGAACATTCGGTAGAATTCTAAAATGACGTCATAATTTTTTGATTAACGATTTATCCTTTTTCCTAATCTTTAAACGTTTGCAGTATTTCAATATATTCGTTTTTGCAATTTTCAAGTTAAACTGTAAAATACAATTTTGAATTCTTTCCGAAAAATCTCGATATCTAGAATAAAAACTCAACACGGATATAAAATTTAAGAAACATTTATTCTACAAAATTATAAAATGACGTCATAATTTTTTAGGAAGCAATAAACAAAAAAAATTTTTGATTAACGATTTACCATGCTTACGATGATCTTAAACTTGTAAGTTTTTAAAGCATTCGGTTTTACAATCTCAAAGTTTTGATGTTTTCCCCAAAAATCTTGATGTCTAGAGTGAAAGCTCGACATGGATTCATGAATCACATCTGCAGGACTATCCAATTCCACAAAATTAAAGATATAACACCAAAAAAAGGGACAAATTAGTAGCAAGCAAAATGGTACATTTCACCCCACAATTTTGTTTTTTAATTTATTATAAGACGCTTTATCATTTTTAACAGGCAAATTTTGACGTTGAAGTGTTTTTTTTTTATTTTTTATAAAAATTTCAAGGTCAGCGGTTTCTGCATGGATCCGCTGGAATCATGGTCAAAATCTTTAGAAATCCACAATTTCTAAAAAATAACCCTAAGATGGGGTGAAATCTTAAAAACACGTTTTAAAAAAATCTTCACGACAAAAATAGTTTTCTTATTTTATAAAAAAGCAATAAAAAAACTACAACGTCCAAATTGACCTGTTTACTTAAAAACATGGTAAATTACCTTAAAACAGGTAAAGAAAGCCTAAATAGAAGAAAAAATACATATATCCAGCTATTTGAAAATATATAAAATTTGATTTTATGATTTTCATTTTGTGATAACCTATGTACAGTAAAAACCAGAGACATAAATAACACCCGTTGACCTTCAGCACTAGATAATAGGAATCTGAAGCTCAAGTGTTTGTTTATACACGGAAAGAATTTCAGGTAGAAATTAATTTCATTTGAATGAGTTTTTATTCACAAAACAGGACTACAATAATTATTATACCACAATCGAACAAAATGTTTGAATATTATAATTCTTATTCTATGATTATTATGCCGGGTGTCTGGAAAATCGCGGATTAATTCTTCAATACATTTTGTACGCAGATTTCGAAAGTTCCAAAAAAATAACTAAAAAATGCTTTATGAAGTGGATTACGAAAAAAACGTACTTTTACAAAAGTAAAATTGGTAACACTGCACGCACCTAATGCGTGAACCAAAAAACCAAAAAAAAAACATTTATAAAGACATTTATAAATTATAAACAAAAACAAAACTAACAAAATAAAAATCCATTAAAGCATTATCAACTAAACAGTAGAGAAGATGTTCAAAATTTCTGCCTTGTGCATATAAGTAAGCTTGTGATGTTTCCAAATTTTGATCATTTTCTGTAAAAATTAGTCAACAGTACTTGCTAAGATAAAACTAATTTTAGCAAATGACATACCCCCTAAGAAAACAGAGGGTGGGTGGGTGGGGCTAGTACCTGCTAAGATAAAACTGATTTTGGCAAATGACATACCTTCCAAGAAAAGAGAGGGTGGGTGGGCGGGGCTAGTACTTGCTCAGATAAGACTGATTTTGGCACCCACTTTCTCTTTTCTTAGAAGGTATGTCATTTGCCAAAATTAGCCTTATCTTAGCAGGTACTAGCCCCGCCCACCCACCCTCTCTTTTCTTGGAAGGTATGTCATTTGCCAAAATCAGTTTTATCTTAGCAGGTACTAGCCCCACCCACCCGCTCTCTCTTTTCTTGGAAGATATGTTCATTTGCCAAAATCAGTTTTATCTTAGCAGGTACTAGTCCCACCCACCCGCTCTCTCTTTCCTTAGAGGATCATAACAACCAGTCCTACTCATTAATCGTTATGCGTTATTATTAATAAAGTAAGCTCGTAATGTTTCGAAATTTTGATATTTTTTTTGGGAAAATTAGTCACCAGTACCTACTTGCTAAGATAAAACTGATTTTACCAAATGACATGCCCCCTAAGAAAAGAGAGGGTAGGTGGGTGGGGTTAGTACCTGCTAAGATAAGGCTGATTTTGGCAAATGATATATCCTCTAAGAAAAGAGAGGGTGGGTGGGCGGGGCTAGTACCTGCTAAGATAAGACTGATTTTGGCACCCACTTTCTCTTTTCTTAGAAGGTATGTCATTTGTCAAAATCAGCCTTATCTTAGCAGGTACTAGCCCCGCCCACCCACCCTCTCTTTTCTTGGAAGGTATGTCATTTGCCAAAATCAGTTTTATCTTAGCAGGTACTAGCCCCGCCCACCCACCCTCTCTTTTCTTACAGGATCATAACAACCAGTAGTCATTAACCGTTATTATTAATAAAGTAAGCTCGTAATGTTTCCGAGTTTTGATAATTTTTTTGTGAAAGTTAGTCTCTAGTACTTACTGAGATTTTGGCAAATAACATACGCTCTAAGAAACGAGAGGGTGGGTGGGCGGGGCTAGTACCTGCTAAGGTAAGACTGATTTTGGCAACTGACGTATCCTCTAAGAAATTTAATTAAATTATTATCTATTAGAACCTCAAGATTGTTTTAAATTAAAAAAAAGAACGAAAAATCGTGTCATTATTGTTTCAGAGGGGCATAAACGAAGAAAATTTGATGCTTGATACCATGCTTACGATAACCTGAAATGTTTCCAAAATTTCAGAGCAGTTTCAAAGTTAAATTGCAATGTTGTAATGTTGATTTTTTTCTCAAAAAATCTGGGTGTCTAGGATAAAAATTCAACAGGGGTTCATAGACCACAAGTGCCGGAGTATCTTATTTTATACAATTTAAATAATATTTACTATATATAAATTTTGGAGATCACGTCAACAAATTGTTGGTGGGGATGATAAGCCAAATTTTAATTATCTACACGATATTTGTAATAAACAAATAAAAACTTAACAACTGGTTCAGTACTTTCGGAGAATATTTGTCTAATAAAAATCCGGACAGACGACAGACAGACATACAGACAGTGGTGGTGTCCCGGTATCACAATCCGACACTGGTTTCGGTTCGTTTCCCTATGACACATTCCACTTAATTACAATTCGCGCAAAAACGCCACCGTTATTGTCTTTAAAACGTTGTCACACAACGATTTAAAAAATTTCCTTTAACGGGACACTTTCTACATGGCCGATTATCGAAAGACAGTTACTCGAGTAAATTAAATCATTAAAAGTACTTGCGCAACGACAAGCAGCGACAAACAACCATTTCCTCAGTTCGACAAGCATCCACTTCCACAACTACAATGGAAAGGAAGCTTTTAAAACACTTCAATAAATACACGGCAAACAGATAAAGGCGACTTAAAGTGGACACGGGTCTGGAAGACTCGATGGCATCCTCGGAATGCGATAGGGGGTATTTTAAGCGCTCCGTTTGCATAATTTCAGAGACCTTGGGCCAAAGAAAGCGAATCTGGAAAGCGGCAGCGACAGTTATAAATACTTATAATACACCATAGTAGAGCACAATGTTTAGGTACAAAAAAAATATTAGAAATTTTTGTTTTGAATTTTTCTTTGACAGACATAAAAGTGGCTCTCGATAACATAAAGTTAAGTGATATTGTCGGGGAAGTAGCGGGGCTGAGGGTGGCTCTCATTCCAAGTTCTCTTGTTCTGACTTTCCCCAGCTTCTCAACTTCCCGAATCCTAGAGCGCACTACGTAATCGTCTTGTCCACAGCGTCCTCCTCCGCCGCCCCCGACGATTGCATTCGCC